AACCATTTGATCGATGAATGGAAGGGGAAAATGATCCTTCTTGGTCACTGCGTTCAATTTGCGGTAATCGATGCACTGGCGCCAACCCGTAGGCTTTCGAATTGGAACGAGGTCCCCTTCACGATTTTCCTCCGCAGTTACCCCTGCTTTCTTTGGCACCACTTGGACCGGACTCACCCATGGGCTATCTGAGATAGAAAAAATAATTCCTACGTCCAGAAGCTTGATTACCTCTTTCTTGACCACTTCCATCATGTTGGGGTTCAATCTTCTTTGTGGTTGTCTTATCGGTCTAGCATCCTCTTCCAAGCGAATTCGATGCATACATACGGACGGGCTTATACCCTTGATGTCCGCAATTGTCCACCCTATAGCTTCCTTATGCTCCCTTAAAACCCGTAGCAGCTTATCCTCCTCCGTGGGTGATAATTTGGATGAGATTATCACTGGTAACGTCTCTTTTTCACCCAGATAGGCATACTTTAAATGGTTGGGCAGGGGTTTCAACTCCACTTCAGGTGCCTGCACGATAGAAGGTAATAACTTTAGGTGCGGTTCAGGCACAAATATAGGAGCAACATCATACCTTAGAGGACTTTGGCCTAGTGAATGCAAGGCTCCAACCATTCTTTGCAAACTGATGTCTAACTCCATTTCGCAGGCTGCTTCCAGATCCAAATGTTTGGTGATTGCTATCTCTAATTCATCCCTGCCATTAATCTCAAATACTTCTTGCACCAAAGGGTCAATTACACTCACAGCAAAAACAGCATTAGAATGACATGGATATTTCATGGCCTCAAATATACTGAAATGAACTATTTCTCCATCAAATTCCATCGTTAGGGTGCCCTCACTAACATCAATTTTTGTACGAGCTGTGCTCAAGAAGGGCCTCCCCAACAAAATTGGTGATGGATTTGGAGAACGTTCGTCACCCATATCAAGAATATAAAAATCAGCAGGGAACACTAAATTGTTCACTTGCACTAACACATCTTCTATCACCCCATCGGGATAAGCATTAGTCCTATCAGCCAATTGAATTATAATGCCAGTTTCCTTTAAGGGACCCAAATTTAGAGAAGCATAAATAGCCTTGGGCATCACATTTATAGAGGCTCCTAAATCTAACATGGCATTCCTAATGCTAGTGTTCCCTATTTTACAAGGGATAGTGAACATACCTGGGTCTCCGCACTTGGGTGGAAGTTTTCTTTGAAGCACTGCAGATACGTTCTCCCCCACAATTATCCTTTCATCTCCCCTCAGTTTCCTTCTATTGATGCATAGGTCCTTCAAAAATTTGGCATACCGGGGTACTTGCTTAATTGCGTCAAGTAAGGGGATATTTATCTCCACCTTCCTAAACATCTCCAAAATTTCCTTTTCCTTGTCTTGCTTTTTAGGCCTTTCCAACCTGCTAGGAAAAGGTGGTGGGTTAGGTTTAATTGGAACCACTGGGTCACGTATTACCTCTTTATTTGTGCCGGGCGTTCCTTCTTGCTCGAGCTCTTTCTCAATGCGGTCCTCATTCTTGTCCTTCGGAGCCACTGGCGCTGGTCCTTCAACCTCTTTCCCACTCCTGAGGGTCATTGCACTCACATTCTTGGGATTCACCTCAGGTTGAGATGGAAGTTTTCCCTTTCCCTGGGAGTCCAGTCGGTTGACAATTGAGGCTAATTGACTCATCTGATTTTTCAAGTTTTGCATACGTGCTTTCATCTCTTGATTGCTGGCCTCAGTGTCCTGTTGAAATTTCATAGTATTAGAGGCTATGGTTTTAACCATGTCTTCTAGGGACATACCTGAGGCAGAGGATGGTTGATTCCTTGTTTGATATTGTTGCTGGAAGCCCTGCTGTCTATTGGGGATGAAATTTTGTTGCTTATTTCCCCCATAGCTCAGATTTGGATGATCCCTCCAACCCGGATTGTATGAGTTGGAATAGGGGTCATACTGTCTACGTGGCATGGGCATGTTACCAGCCATGTTTGCTTGCTCAACTCCCTCCTCTTGTAACTGTGGGCATGAGTCAGCGGTATGACCAATATTCGTACAAATCCCACACACTTTGGCCTGCTGTGCATTTCCTACAGCTATCTGTCGAACAAATGAGGTTAATTCAGATAACTGCTGTTGAATGGAAGATGAACTTATCTCGTTGACCTTTCTCGTAGGAACATCTGCTCTCGTACCAAACTGCTGGCAATTCTCTGCCATTCGTTCAATTAAGTCTCATGCCTCCTGGGTAGTCTTATTCACCAGTGCACCACCACTTGCTGCATCAATGATATTTCTATCGTTCATCAGTAGCCCCTCATAGAAGTACTGAATCAGCAGTTGATCACTTATTTGGTGATGAGGGCATCGGGTACGCAGCCTGGTGAACCTCTCCCAATATTCATATAAGGACTCCCCCTGAAATTGCTTGATGCCACATATTTCCTTTCGCAAACTAGCAGCTCTAGATGCAGGGAAATATTTTTCAAAAAATTTTTTCTGCATCTCTGGCCACGTGGTGATAATGCCTGCAGGTAGACAGTATAACCAGTCCTTTGCCGAATCCTTGAGAGAAAAAGGGAAGGCTCTTAATTTAATTTGTTCATCAGTTACTCCCGAGGGCTTCATACTTGAACACACTACATCAAATTCCTGCATGTGTTTGTGGGGTTCCTCTCCTGGCAGACCATGAAAAACAGGCAACAAATGTATTAAACCAGGTTTTAATTCAAAAGCTGCATTCTCACTAAGGCGAGGGAAAGTTATGCAAAGAGGTTGTTGGGTCAAGTTAGGAGCAGCCAACTCCCTTAATGTTTGTGTGTTTGCCATGGCGACGTTCTCTTGGTACGAATCACTTGAAGTGTCACCAAACGAATCTGATGGTTCAACTTCGGGCTCAGATCTCTGAGATGCAGCACTGGAGTGCTCTTCTCTGAGCTGTCTGGTTTCCTTTCTCGTTCTACGCGCGGTCTTCTCTACTTCAGGGTCAAAAATCAATTCACCTGTACGAGAAGACCTAGGCATACACTAGAAAAATACCAGAAAATTAGAGCAAAAATGAACTTAATAAAGAAACAAATAATAACGCCAGTCCCCGGCAACGGCGCCAAAAATTGACAGGTGCCGAACCTGTGCAATAATAATAATAAAATCCTAACTACCACTAAAAGCAGTCGATAATTAATCCTAGGTACTGGAGCAGGGACTCTAGGTGTGCAATGGGTTACTTGATTCACCCTGTTCCCGAAGAGTTTGCTTAACCCGATATACCAGAATTAATTAGGTGACAAAGATTACTGAATAGTAGACAGTGGCAAGTAGGGTCGTCTCCTCAGGGACTGGGGATATTTGTTTCTTTTCAAATGCCAATTGGTAAGGGGGGATTTCACCAGAATGAAACTAAAATCAATTGAATAATTCAACAAAAATAAATAAATAACTAACTAGCACAACTAAAGCAGGAGTTAAATCAAGAATGAATAAATTCTAGCCAAGGATGCAACTACTCAGGCACAGTCCATTTATCCGATCATTGATGCATGAGAGGTTCACTTAATTTATTAATAGGCTAGTTATAGTCTGACGACCAATTTTTCCTTAAATTATTGATAACCAAGGTACGACCATTGATCATCTCTAACCAGAAAATACTCCTAGGTACGACCGTAGGAATTAATTTCCCAATTGCATTAGTATTAGAAAAACCTAGCCCTAACCAATAACGCGCTACGAGGGTTATTTAAATTAGATCGCACATTCCCCTAATGTGTAAACACACCAGTTGCCACTAATATTAATCAATCAAACAATTACGGATTTAATTAACTAAATTGGCACGAGATTAATAAATCACATTGAACATCGGGCCCTTGACATCCAATTAATAAAATAATCCCATGAAAATTCAAGTAGACAACGTGCAAATATTAATAAATAAAGGAACACGTGAAAACTAATTAGATCTCACAGATTTTCGGGACTGCGCCGTCAAGTTGACCCTTGACTAGACGGAAGACTTAGCCACGCCGCATAATTAAATCACCACATGCATTAATAGATTGCAAAGGCATTGCGTTTTCTATTAAGAAGCAAGGAATAAAAGATGTTTTTCCCGTTGGGGAATATTGTCGAACACCTGACGTGTGTCAGAGGCCAGTCAGGAGGAAAGAAGAACTAAAACTAAAACAAAAGACTAAAACTAGAGGTCCAAAATAAAAGCCAGCCGTCTTCTGTACGTTTGTTCCCTATTTAAAACCAAAAGAAAGATATCCAGTGGTCCCCACCAGTTGGCCACAAGCTGCCGAATTCATCTCCTTGTTTTGAGCCTCTGCGCGGTCCCCACCAATTAGCCACAAGCCTGCTGAATTACTTCTTGTTCCTAAGGCTTTGTACGTTGCCTTTACTAGCTCTTGTAGCTTTTGTGGTCCCCGCCAATTGAGGCTTTCTACTGGAGTCTCCCAAATTTGCATCCAGAAGTCCCTCTTGTTGTAGTTATCTGCTCCACTCCTGGAATTGAATTCAGATATCAAATATGAGTAAATATCAGCAATTAACACAATATTTGTTCGGAATAGAAGGGGAAATTAATAATAAAATTACTAACAAATTATACCCTATCACTACATTAGCCCCTCATCCAGGGAAGTATAACTGCCTTAAAAATTAAGCCAAACTTTCTTCTTTATCTTCCACGACTAGTCCTTTATATCCCAGCAAAGTTTTAGTTTCAAAACTACGGCTATGACTAATATCTTAACAACCAATCCAGATTTTCTCTCATATAATTTGATTCCTTTACTTGAAAGAAGAAGAAGAACTTTCTATGAAATGCTACCAGACAGATGGTCCAAATAATTGTTCATTGTTTAAGGTACACACCACACATCACTATCAAAAAGGAAACAATTTTTACCCCAACGCATCACATTCTATTGGCTAGTCACCTCTATAAATTGTATTCAAACTGCTATAGTCTGTATAACAACCCAACTGTAAAAATCCAGGTCCAGAAGAAAAGATCAGTTTCTTTCTTCACCATTCTTACTTTGAAGGCAAACTCAACAATGGCTAATTCATCAGGACTCCTCAAACTAGGGACTCTTGTAATCTTCGTATCCATGCTTATCATGAGTTTCTCCCATGGAGGGCAAGCACAAATCTCCTGTGACACTGTTGACAACGACCTGTTTCCATGCCTTAGCTTCGTCCTGAATGGAGGAAAAGTTGCACCTGCTTGCTGTAGTGGGATTAAGACTCTACTCAGCCTGGCTAAGACTCAAACTGATCGCCAGAGTGTTTGTTCTTGCTTGAAATCTGTTGCTCAGAGTGCTACTAATGGTCAGCTCAAGAATGCTGCTCAAATCCCTCATCTGTGTGGTGTTAATCTCCCATTCCAGATTTCTCGCAACATCGACTGCTCAAAGTAATGCTCTATCCTGCACACTCTTTATTTAATCTCTATAATTGTACTTTTAATTGTACAAGATGACGAAAAAAACATGAAGAAGAAATTACAAAAAGTGTGGAAGGTTTTTTAGAACATGGGTACTTATCGAAGGATGAAATTTTCCACGATGGCAATTATTTTTAGATACAAATGGTATTCATTGAATAAGTTTAGGCAGTGCATACCAATTTTCCAGTTCTAAAGTGTTTCAGAAAGTGTTAGAAACATAGAACTGGATATGTACTAGGGATAAATCGTCTTCCTCTTGGAAGTGTGTTTTTCTTTTGATAAATGGGGAGCAATTCAACTTTTTCTTAGTAAGTTTAAGGGTATAAATGGATGTTTAAAAGATGACAAATTAAATTGTGTTGATGCCATGTAGAGCTCCTCTTGCTTTATATATTGTACAGATTTCGACATCAGAGTTTACAGGTTTGAGCGTATGAAAATAGAAAAGCCAAGAAAGAAAAAAAGAAAATGGTTATAGTCTTCATAAATGAATGCAGAGCTTCTAATATCAGGGCCAAAAATTATCACGTATAAATCATTCCATAATCAATACAATTAAAACATCTTTACAATTTGGTGGGCGAAACTGACGAACTTTCAAGTGGTACTTATTTAAAAACTTTCTAAAGTCTGAGGGGGACGACTGCAGCCCTTCCTAGTTATCTCGTTGAATGCTCATGCACCTCCTTTCGTGTTGTGACCTTCTTGAGGAGGATTGATTTGTATATTGAGTTTTGCAATGTTTTCTAATTAAATACTTAATGTGCCTAACTGCAAAATTGTATTGCAGGGTGAAGTGAGCTTGATGGACAATTGAGATGCGTTGCATCACTTTGCAATCTTGAATGGATTGTAAAAATTTATCATTATTAATACCAGTGAAAGAATATGCCAAATGTTATGTATTATGTTATCTCAAGCATATATGTATGAATTCGTGTATATATATATATATATATATACACACACACTCATCACTTCACATAATATTGTTCACAGATTGATTATGGGAAATATTCACATTTATGATATGTCTATACATGCCATATTTTCTGGAGACACTTGGCTTGTTCATGGGGATGATATCGCCAAGAAAGGATAAAAAGACAATTTACAGCTTAGATTAGCCAATAAATTGTTCACACATTTGAGTAATTGGAATCCCAAATTAAGACTTTTTTAACGGACAAGCCATGTAATAAATACTATCCCTTCTCATCCAATCTATCGCCTATCTGCCTATACAAATACTAGGCAAAATTGCTATATGCCATGTAATAACTCAAGCGAAAAACTTCCACGAGCCCCAAGAAGTTTTGTTTCCTCAAAATCACTGATCCCATGGAAATCTCAACTATGGCTAACTCATCAGGACTAATCAAAAGAGTAGCACTAGTAGTTCTCATGTCCATGTTGATTATGAGTTTCTACAGTAGAGGGCAAGTACAAATGTCTTGTGTTATGGTGGCCATGGACCTCTTTCCCTGCCTTAGCTTTGTTAGGAGTGGGGGACAAGTTGATCCTGCTTGCTGCAATGGAGTCCGGTATATCGATCGTCAGCTTGGCAAGAACCAAAGCTGATCGTCAGCGTGTTTGTTTTTGCTTCAAACCCTTGCTTGGATTGGCTACTGACGATCAAATCAAGAATGCTAATAGCATCCCTAGATTTTGTAATGTTAAAATTCCAAAAATTAACATTACCTGTGACACCAACTGTTCAAAGTAATCTCTCTCTCTCTCTCTCTCTTATGCAAGTTCTCTTTACCAACGGATGTTGGTGCAAGCAGAAGGGCTTGTATAATTTTTTTTTTTTTAGATTTTTTTTTTATTTATTCATGGAAAATATAACAAAATATTCCTCTTACATAATCCTCATTTTTCTAATTGAAGGTATCCCTATTCTGTCCAAACGGATTGCCCCACGAGCCAACCTTGGGAATGTACTGAAGGTGTCATAAATCTCAATTTGTTTATCTGGATGAGATATACCCACATTAGATAAAGCATCAGCAACTGTGTTAGCCTCCCGATAGCAGTGCGTGAATCTAGGTGGATCATCTAATAACTGCCAAATCTGGTTGACGTATCTTCGAATTTTCCACGGACATTGAGTACGACGTTGAATGATCCCAATTAAAACCAATGAATCTGATTGTACACATATGTTTCCAAAACCGTTATGTATACAGATCTGAAGACCAATAAGAAGGGCACAAGCCTCTGCACGGAGACATGTAGTTTCTCCCAGATATGCCGAAAAACCAATCATTGGTAATCCAGTGGAATCCCGGAGTATGTCCCCACCTCCACCTATTCCTGGATTACCCTTAGCACATCCATCCGTGTTAAGAGTATACCTCCCTGTCTCTTTGGTTTCCCAGCGGATACCTTGATATACAACTGTACCCCCAGGTGCGTTTGACCAATCATACAATTGACAAAAAGATTGTAGTCTTATCAGTTGTTTAAAATGTATTCCTACCATGGATTGGACTTCTGAGAAGATGGCTTGGCGAATGGCCGATGATTGCATCTGGACACCCTCAAACATTGCTTTGTTCCTTGCCTTCCAAATCTGCCAGCAAATTACACTAGGAAGAATACGACAAATAAGCCTTCGTAACTCAGAATCCTGTGAATACAACCACCAATCTACTATGCGTGCTCGTAGAAAAGATCCTGAGAATTTTATTCCACATAACCCTCCAAAATAATTCCAAAGTAATGACGCAATGTGTCCATTGGAGAATAAATGCTCAATAGACTCCTCAGAAGCCTCAGTGCAGCAAAAGCACTTTGACGGCAAATGGAAACCAAATTTACGAAACTTATCCGGTGTCGGTATTCTCCTCAGAAGAAGTCTCATCATGAAAAATGAAACTTTCAAAGGTATCCGAGTGTGCCAAATGGAAGCAAATACCATAGACGTGGGTCGGGCCTACCTAATGTCCCCAAAAGCCGATTGTAGAGAAAAATTTCCAGTTGTTGTGGGCATCCAAATGACTTCAGCTATACTTCCTTCTTCTGGGGCCATTTGTTCTGAAATGGAATAAGCAATTTCCTTTGGCAATGTATGGTATAGAAGGTTCAAATCCCAATGGCCGTTGCTTACGAAGTTTCGGAACGTCAAATTTGGGATAACCGGAACCTTTAGAAACAATGCACCACTCCCCAACCAGTTATCGTACCAAAAATGACACGCCCCATATTTGGCCACCCATAATATTGAGAGTTCCACTTGTCAGCTCACATTGATCATCCTTCGCCAAATTGCCGAATCCGTTGGCCTGAGTTCTACCTGACAAGGATGCAAACATTTACAATACTTTGCTTTCATGAAGGTTGACCACAGTGATGATTCTGTTCGGAATTTCCACCATAACTTGGAGGAAAAGGCTATGTAGACGTCACATAATCTCCGAAATCCAATTCCCCCTTCCTCAACTGGATAGCACAATTGAGGCCAACTTATCCAATGAAGCTTCGACTCCTCGGGTGAGGATCCCCACAGGAATGCCGAGCATGCCTTTTCTATAGTTTTAAACACCGAATTGGGAATCACTGCAGCTGACATTAGGTGAACTGGTATTGATGATAATACATGCTTGATTAGAATAATTTTTCCTCCAAAGAAAAGTAACCTTGATTTCCAAGACAGAATCCTTGCTAGTATTGCGTGACAAACTTCTCCAAAATAAGATGATTTGCATCTTCCAATGTAGAGCGGAAACCCTAAATAGCGTATTGGAAATGACTTGCGGGCAAACCTAGAAATGCGATCAAGCAGCCGTCGTCTTGCCATTGATACAGATGGATGAACTAGATAACAGCTTTTTTGTACATTTATTAATTGGCCCGAACATCTTTGATAATCATCTAACACTTTCATGATAGCCTTCAGGGAAAATGAGGATCCATTTGCAAAAATAAGAATATCATCCGCAAATGCCAAGTGAGTAATAGACGGGCATCCATATGGAACTTTGAAACCCACAAATCTTGGTTGCATGACAAGATTATTCAGTGCTCTAGATAACACCTCTGCCCCTATAATAAATAATGCTGGTGATAATGGGTCACCCTGACGGAGTCCTCTCGAAGATTTGAAAAAACCGTATAAGGATCCATTTATAATGACGGAAAACCAGACATTAGAAATCAGTCGCCAAACCATATCAATGAATCTCTCACCAAAATCGAACCTTCTCAGAACATTGATAATATGACCCCATGCCACTCTGTCATATGCCTTAGACATGTCTAGTTTCATAACCACATTACCACCTCTATTCTTTTTCGCCATACCCGATATCACCTCCTGTGCAAGTAGGAAGTTTTCGGTTATATTACGACCCTTCACAAATCCTGTCTGCTGGGGAGAAATAATTTTTGGCAATATTTCTGCCACTCTGTCTGCCAAGATCCTTGATAATAGCTTGTTGAAGAAGTTACATAGGCTGATGGGTCTAAATTGAGAAAAATCTTGAGGATTTGGCACCTTTGGAATTAGAACAATTGAAGTAGAGGTGATGAAACGAGGAAGTTCTACTCCACAGAAAAAACTGAGTACCGCCTTGTAGACATCTTGGGCGATGACTTGCCATGCAAAAGTAAAAAATTTTCCCGTGAATCCATCTGGGCCAGCAGCACTTTCTTCATCCATTGCCTTCAGGACTCTAAAGACCTCTTCGATTGAAGGGATTTCTTCCAACTTCACATTATCCTCTCCCGAAATCATAGGTGGAATTAGGTGTAGCATATCTGCAGATGATCCCAAAGAATCCGAGAAAAGTTTAGAGAAATAGGTGGTTGCTTCACTTGCTATATCAGCTTCATTGTCCACCCAAACACCATTGGCTTTTTTGATATGATAAATCATAGCTTGAGCCCGTCTTTGTCTTACTATCGCATGAAAATACTTTGAATTGGTATCTCCCTGTCGAAGCCATTTCACCCTGGCCTTTTGCCTCCAAAATTGTTCTTCAATTGATAATGCATGTCTCAGCTCCGCCTGAGCCTTTTTGAGTTCAATCTGGCACTCCTCCGAATCATCTTGATCTACCACTTCTTCTGCCCGTTGCACCGCCATTTCCGCAGATCGCATATTATCGATCACGTTTCCAAAGTGTTCTTTGTTCCATGTCTGAATAGCTTTTCTTGTTGCTAATAATTTAGAACATAGAGCACGCATCGGAGATCCATTGACATCTTGATTCCAAGCCTGGCTTATCACCTCCAAGAGTTGTGGTTTAGTCGTCCACACATTCAAAAATCGAAATGGACGCGGCTTAGCATCTGATTGAGCAACAAATGAGAGCTTTAACGGTGAATGGTCAGATGGATGTCTAGCCAAGTGAAGGACAGAAATGTTATAAGAAAGATCCAGACATGCCCCGTTGACTAAGAACCTGTCTAATCTCTTTGAAATCCGAGCTCTACTTCGTCGATTGTTTGACCATGTAAAATTGGGTCCTGAGAAGCCAACATCAAATACTCCAGCCTCCTCCATGAAAGACAGAAATTCCACTCCTTCTGTTATAGCAAATGGACGACCTCCCCTTTTTTCATGAGGTGCCACAATAACATTAAAATCACCCCCAATACACCAAGGAAGAAAACTAGGCTTATCAGCTAACAATGAGGACCATAACTCACGCCGCTCGTCAACTGAGCATTTAGCATGGACAAAGGACATAATTATTGGAGAAGGAATTAGGGGACTTTGTACATGTAGAGAAATATGCTGATCAGAATTACCAACAATCAAGCAAAGAAAAGGATTATTGTAGAACACCCAAATATCACTTGAACAATTAACAAGCACGTAATCAAATAATAGATGTAGACGAATGGTCTGTATTTTAGATACGTCTAACTTTGGCT